AGCATCAGTTAAATGCATTCTAAATGCAAAATGCTGTGAATTGTGGTGTCGAAACCAAAACCTCTTGTGTAAACTAAAAATCTTATGTAAGCTTAATGAAATATAAAAGAGCTGACACACAATTGAATGCCTAAATCTGTAGCCAAAGTGTTAGGTACTTTTTCTCGAACCTATATAAAAAGACCACAGACAACGTATATGAATTTTATAGACAAAGCTTTTGCAAAAGGAGAACTCTCCATCAACAACCTCATCAGCCGTTCACAGAGAATTCTGATCTCCTTCCACGTGAGCCCCTGTTTTATTGTCAAGCAGAACAACCAAAAGGGGCAGTCAGGAAGAACAACAAAGGTCGTAAAACTTCTAACCTAAACAAACCAGCCAGGTGTGATATCTGATCTACGGTCTGAGCCCAGTTCAGCTCTAGGTCAAACTGTCAACAAAGAGGGAGGATAAACAAGAGACAAAATACAACTGCTCAGAGGCAGTTAGGAGGTATTCTGGTTGATAAGAATTAAGGTCTGGGAAACACAGAGTTAACTGTTTCACATGAAGATGAAACAGACAGTCCTGACCTCCAGGTCAGTTTATACACACATAAGGAAGAAAACACTTTAAACTAAAAATCACAATAATACTGATTAACATTAGACTGAATATGAACTAAAGTAATAACAAAATGATAATACCAAAAAATATCTAACACAAAGTGAAACGGATGGTGTTTGTTATAAAATCCAGACCCGATGACTATAATTTCCTTGTAAAAGGAAAAATGTATTTTTCATCCACCGAACAAGAATTTAAGCCAGATATGTTACAATGCTTCAGCTGCATAACAAAACAGAAGATTTTCTGAAACACAAGAAACTTAGTGTTTGTTTCGCTTGGTTGAACATAGAGTTGAAAATCAGATACCAGAGCTCCAACTGAGCTGTTTTTATTCCTCAAGCAGTGTCCTTGCCCTGCACTGAAAAAAAGACCGACTTAAACTACTAAATAAGACTCCTGCAGATCCTCATTCATCCAGAGTAAGGATTCATCTCTGCTTGTGTGAGCTGGAACTGTGCAGAGAGTCTTCTCTGATGCTGCTGTACAGTTGCTGCAGCAGCAACCAAGAATAGACTGAAGGGGAACCACACAGATTTCTTGGGGGAATTTCTGGACATACAGAAACGCAAAGTTTTCACTCCTTTTGATGTCAAGTAACTCTGCGTGTTTAATCTGAAGTGTGATTATGATAACATTAAAATGGTTGTTTCAAGTTGAGAACAGCATGTATTTTGTCTCGTCTCTTCTTTCACACAGCAACAACTTAAGGCACATTTTACTTAACTTGACAATCGTATCATTCACCGCAGATTCTGGAACAAATTCTAAAATATTTCCTGGCTCTGATTTTTGGAGCAGTTTAACACTTGATGCCAAAAAGATAATGAGCTTGAAACTTTGGCTGCCTCTGCTTTGTAGCTATAAATCATACTTTGGCTTTTTAGACATTAATGGACTTATTGATTGGAAATAGATTTTTTTTTCTTCAGATTTCTCACTTGCAATAGACCTACGTCCTGAGCAGAGCTGCTATTAATAAAGTTCACCATAGCAGCAGATTCTCCACAACAGTAAGAACATAGAGCTATGACATAAACATGATAGGTGAGACACAATCATGAAAAAATGATTAAAAATAACAATTTGGTTTTATATTTCTATGAACTGAACAGTTCTGTTGTATTTGTTGCTGCCTCTTGACCAGGACTTTCTTGGAAAAAAGATTGTTAATTTCAAGTGGTTTTTATCTTGTAAAATAAAGATTAAATACATAAAAAATAACACCTTATTTTACACAATAAGTTCATAAAATTCACTTTCGGAGAATAAGACCTTGAACGAGGGATTGGCATGTCTTTACTACATGCAAGCAACTGTGTGGCAGTCATGCGAGGAAAAAAGTTTGTTCTGTCCTACTAGCACAAACATAAATAATTTGATAAGCTTTCCTGGAGCTTTAAACTGAAACTGTGTGCTGGTGAGATGAGACTAAGTTTGAACTTTTTACACTAAAGCTGTATTAGACATCAGCAAAGGTTACCTATCTCTGTCATGAAGTATGGTGAAGGACTTGTCATGATGTACAAATGCTGTTGTCCTAAAGGCCTTGCATGAGCGATTGGCAGTCTTAAACTCTATGAAATAGCAGAATGTGTTAAATTAAAATCTAGAGGTCTCATCAGTACAACTTAAAATACATTGTCATTGGGATTTCTTTAACAAGATGTGACCAAATCAAGACAGAAATGGCTCAGAAGACAAAAAAGATAAACCTTGTTGAATGATCTTCTCAGACTCAAATTCTAAAACTCGTAGGATTCCCTGACATGAAGAGAAAGAGACAACGCTGATCAAAGATGTGTCTGTCTTGTGAAATGTTAAAGACTAAGTTGTACAAAGTATTGACAGCAGAATAGCAAATTCTATTCAATTTGATCACTTTGACAATAAAAGTAATTGAAAACCTGGTATTTAGTTTTTTTAAGAGGTAACATATATATATGTTAGTTTGATTTTTAATCCTTCTCCGGTCTGTTTGTTTGAGGTCTTATATTCATCTTTACAAGGGTTGCCAACACAGCTGAATCATGAAGGTGCCCTGGAGGGCTAGATTTATAACGTGAGCTCAAGGCCAGCATGCTACTTGATTACAGGTGTGATAAAGCAGGACAGAGGTCTCTTAAATCACAGAAGACAGCAGACATACAAGTCAACAAAGTAAGTAAATAAATAAATGGTCACAAAATAAACAGTCAAAGTAAAGCCCAGGTCCCCTCAGGCTTAAAGCATCTTTAAAGGGCTACGGTGACAGAGCTACACACATTCAACACGACTTTCAGAGAGCAACAGAAACAAATACAGGAGATAGGAAATATATGGAGATAGAGGATTTGTAAACTGAGGGGGAAAAAACAAGCAGGAGATGGCGAGAGTGTCAAAAACGCTGCAGGTGTTCCTGTATTCATCCAAGGTCATCACCAGTGCTTCCAGGCAGAGCTGCAGGAATGCAGAACAGAGAGATGAAAAGGAAACAGAGAGATGCAAAGCTGTGAAGGGGGGAAAGAGAAAACAAAAGCAACAGGTACGAAGCAAGTGTGCGGAGATAAAGATAAGGTATGTGAGAACGCCTGAGAAAATGAGAAAGGCAAGCAAACAGGGGAAAGAGGCAAAAGGAAGGAAAGGTGATAGAAATACTGAACATTCTGGAACAAAATCCACAGCAGAAACATGTGTTTGTCTTTTGACTCGTCTGCGCTGACACATCGCATCGCAGCTACCTGTAGGCATTTATTAAAAATTGATGTCAAAATGGAACCAGAACCACAGCCTCCAAGCCTGTCCTCTTGATTTGGATCACTCCCAGACTGCTGAAGCTTCACATTCTAGCTCACCAGAGTCTACGAAGTCAGTTGATGTTTTCACACAGGTGTCCTTTTATAGCACAAAAATTGCGTGACAATTGACGTAGGAACGTAACGTCTGCTACAGTTTTTGCTTTCAGTGTCACTGACCACGATATGGGGTCACCAGCCAGGAGAGGAAGAGATTGAACAGTGTAGCTAACTGAGTTTCATTTACAGCTCTGTGACAGATTGGTGACCCGGACAGAAAGCATCCTGCCTCTCGCCCAAAGACCAGAGGCTCCTGGTGACCCTGGATTAAATGGGTATGAGAAATGGACGGATGGATAGTTTGATTTGCCATAATAATTTCAAATAAATCTTCACCAAGCGTACTACAACACCTAGAGGTGCACAGAATCTGTATCCTTCAAGACCTTACCTTTATGCCATTTAAAACTTAATTATTATTTGTCCTTTAGTTTCTTTTGAAAATCCTGGCCAAACAGGCTGGGGGTTTCGCATTTGGGTTTGGCCATATCCTTCCGTGTTTGTGTTTCGTCTTTGCTAGTGGCCTGATCACTTTCCTTTACTCTTCATGTCTTGCTGTACCCATTTCATTCCTTTGTATTAGTTTCTTTGTCTGTTTTTATGTGTTGTTCTTTGTGGGTTTGGATTTTGTTTCTTAGATTGGTGATAAACTTTTCCCCTTTGACTCGTTGCTTCTGTATGTGTCAATTCTTTTCCAATGCTCATCATTCATCTCTTGTTGCTGTTCCCTGTCTGCGATCCATGTTCTGTTCTCACTGTGATTCCCTTGGATCACTTGGATCCTGTTTCAAAACTAAAAGTTGAAAGTTTATTGTAATAAACTTTCAACTGTAAATTTTCTTACAACCGATTACGCCATAACATACACTACAAGGCTAACGTTTTTGTTTTTTTTATTATTATTATTATTATTTTCATTTGGTAGTTTGGTGTGGATCTCGAGACCTGGGTCAGGTTCTCCTCCTGTTCAGCTCAACTGAACCACCTTATAGGTTTTATAATAAACTAACAATGACTTAAACTGACTATATGATCATCTGTTTTCCCTATAATGATCATATAAGTCGCTTCAAAGACTTGAAATTTCTATGATGGGAAGTTCTGCAAAGTTACAAAAAGTTTCCATCAACATTATATTAGACATTTACTGTACATTTTTATGACACAAGTGTTTTTTGTTCACTGTTTTCTAGACAGTCATTGCATTACTTGTCATTGCACTACATTGGGTCAGACAACTGCAATTTTTCGATTGACTTTCCAAGAAAAAAAATGTAATTGGCGGTGCAAGTAGGAAAGACTAGCCAAATCTACTAAAATGTGGGTGTACCTTTTTAAACTTTACTTCTCTCATTTGTGTAAAAAAAACAAAAAAAACATAAAATATCAAATCGGCAACAGAAAACAGTTCAATTATTCCTGGTCTTATAATGAATCTGGAGCATGAGTAAAAAATAAATAAATAAATAAATAAATAAAAAGTTTCAAGGTTAGTTAGACTGAAGGGGCGTGGCCAGCCCCTCTGATAGAGAGCTATTGAAATTATGCAGATTCAGCAGCGCTCACTCTGAAAGTCACCCTGCATTAACAAGCCTAATGTGGCCGGAGGTGACAAACCTGAGGAAGTTTGCAGGATTTCGCTCACCTCCGAATATCTGATATGTAAAATAAATAAATAAAAATCTGAGCGCAGGAAGAGAGAGGGGGAGAGAGAGATAGAGAGAGAGAGAGAGGGCAGCTGGATTCAAAGTGACTTTTGAAGTGACAGTCGACCCAAACACGAGAAGACAGACGTCCTGCGTGTGAATGTGCCTGCGTGTCCGCGTCTGCCAGAGCATCCGACGAGGAGGACCGACACCGAGCGGAGGGAGAGCAGCACCAGCAGTCTGTCAAGGCTCCTCTCCTTCCAAGTTCGGCATTTCCAGCGGGCTTCAGGGGACTGGGGGGTAGGGGGGGGACTTCCCGATCTGAAGCTGCGATGGAGCTTCGGAAGAGCAATGGATCTGTGTTGCTTGGAGTTTACCTGTGGGCGACGTTTTACTATCAAGGTGGGTTGCTGTCTCCTATTCAGGCCACGTTTGTTAAAATGCTCATGTTCCCCTGTTGTTTCGCCTGGGTGGCAATGTCTCTGAGGTGAGAGCTGCTGTCCTCTCATGCCAGATGTGGCCACATCTGGCATGAGCGACACGTACCCAAGGGGTATCCTGTGGGTTTTTACGGTCGATGGTTTTGTCATTGTTTTTCAGTCAGAAAGTAATTCCTACATAGATTACTCTTTACATTTTTTTTTCTCCCGTCGTTCTTCATTAAATTTAACTCTATAGGTTTCCACAGCTTAATTGTTGAGAAGCAAATGTCATATATTAAGTTTGTGGATCAGTGTGCTTAAAAACCTGTGAGTCCCGGCAACATCTGCCTCTCAATATGGAGGACGTCCCGCAGGTGCTTAGAGTTCATGAGGTCTGTTGTTATGATCTGCAGCTGTTTATCCGATTCAAAATGCTTTACCACAGGCTACATCATCATTATACTGTCACTGCACAGACAGTAACAAATTGTTAAACAGAAATAAACAGTCCATATACAACCACACACAAACCCGAGCATTGTGAGACACTGAACGTTTTGGTGTGTCTGGTACAACTCGAAATTATATATATATATATATATATATATATATATATATATATATATATATATATATATATATATATATATATATATATATATATATATATATCTTGAAAATAAGGACAATGAAGGTTGTTGGGCTGATGGGGGGACATTTAGTGAGACGTTTCTATGAAGAGGCTAATCTTTCACCTCACTGTCCTGTTCTGGATGCAGTCCAGTTAGTTTGTTAGATGCAGCACTGCAAAAAATCTGCAAGGAATCTAACATGTCTGACACAAAAGTGACAGTCTGGATTTTAGGTGAAAATGAAATAAGAGTTTTTAAATGCTGCTTTATTTCATTTGAATACTGAGAAAAACTAACTATAAAACTCAGTGGAATATAATACCTCCAAGCGTTTTGCTGTTTTGGTTTACTTGCCTATACAAAATCAAAATGAGATCACTCTGAAGTAGAGCTGTGTGGATCGGAGTTTTTGTGTTCAGTTTTCTTCTTGACATTTTGACCTTCGGTAGTCATTTTGACTGACTTCCAGCTTTGGAGTGGTTCTTTGGCTCACTTAGTATGCTGTATTAAGCAATGAAATATTGCTTTGTTTTTGCTGGGGGTGTTTTTGGATATATTTGTTCAATGACCCTATGAAAAAAACAAAAAACAACAACAAAAACAAAAACAAAAACAAAAAAACACTGGCCCTATCTAGACCTGTAAATCTGGTCTAGAGCCACCACTGGTGGGGTTTACATGAATGGTAGTTCATGTTGTGTGTCCCTGTGTTGCCCTACGATGGACTGGCAACCTGTCCAGGCCGTACCCCACCTCTTGCCCAATGACTGCTGGAGAAAGGCCTCTGGTAATATTAGAATGACATGACAGTAAATTCAACAAAAAAATACTTTGTTCTTTTGAGAGATTATCATTCAGAAAGATCTGATGCTATCTTCAAAACGATGCAGTTATGATACCGTCTTTATCGTTCTGTGGTCCTGGGGTCTGGGCATACAACTCCGCAATGTTGATTAGGAAACTCTTACTGAGTACTTTTGCAACTATTTCAAGTATTACACAAGACAGTGAATGTAAAAGCACGTAATCGAGACAGAGCTAAGATTGTCTACTAGTGTGATTTGGATAATTGTCCATGTTTGCTGATTATTAACTGCAGTGTGGAATAGTTCTCATCCGCTTCAGAAAAATGCACAACTAAAGATATTGTCAGGCAATAAAACCCTCTGGAGTTATTTACGTGACTTGAAAGTGTTGGGGATTTTGCTCGAGCTTTAATTAAAATATTTGATCATTTTGTGAGTCTAAAGGGGATCAAGAAGTCAAAAAAATTGGAATGCATAATTGTGCTCCCTGTCATATTCTGGACTGACATTGATTTTTCAAAGCACATTTCACAAAACGGCACGCTTTAATTCAGTATTAAAACTTGACCAAGTCTCCTCTATGTGCAGATTGCCTGAGGCTGATCAATATCCAGCCCGTCTTTGTAGAAGGGGATTCCCCCTGAGCAGAACCTTTAATTTTGACTGTCCTGAACGTCTTCAAAAGGCTGCTGCACAGACTTTCTTCGCGCACATCTTGAAAGAAGTAGCGTTAAAAATTTTATTAGAAATAATCCAATGAAAAACTTAGCTGAAACATTCCAGCCTTTACTTTTTTTTTTTTTTGTCAGATCAAATAATTTTACTTTCAAGAGGCAGATAAAACTGGACTGTCAGTCTGCATTTGCCAGACTCCAGTTTTAATTATTCCTGTCAGACGTTCAGCTAATGTCTGTCTGACCACAGATTGTTTTTCAGTTGTTCATGCGTTCTGATCCCAGTTGGTGTTGTGTTGCAAGTGTATTTACTGTTTTAAGCTTAAACTGACCTGCCTTCTGGGATCCATTAAATATTCACTCTACACAAGTCCGTCTTTGGTTTACTGGTATGAAGGGGCCCCTCTTTTTTTTTTTTTTTTTTTTTTGCTTGAAGCTACAAGCTGTTGGAGTTCCCTCCTGGCCATTGAAAGCTTTATGCTGATCTACTAAAATGGGGGAGAGGGGGAAACTGATATGTTATAAAAATGTTGTGATTTTGCTTAAGGGGTATAAAGATTTATTTATTTATTTATTTTTACAACTGTTCTATGTTGGTGTAAAAGCTTTTCCAAAATACATCTCGTGAAGAGAGGGCATAGTTTTGAAAAGTGTGAGCAAATCAAGATCACCAGACTGGTGTTGATCCAGTTCAGTGCATCAAAACCTGTCCACTGAATTCACAACACTTGTTGAGTCACAATGAAAAGGCATTTCAATTCGGTCACTGATTTAGCCTCATCTTGACTTGATGCCTGAAGCACATTGGGTAATATGTTTTTTTTTTCTTGTTTTTTTTAGTGGTCCATTTAAAACCAAGCCGCAGTATCACTGTGTTGAATTTGTATGATGGCTTAATTTTGAGAGGAAAAGATGATGAAATTATAGTAAATTTTGAATCTGTCAGCTTGCAGCACCAGAAATACCTGGGATAGAGTTGTGATTAGTGTGTCTCTCTCTGGTTAGACAGGCTGTTTGTTTTCTCCGAATCAAAATGTGTTTCTGCTACGGGGGTTTTTGCCCCATTCATTCCTCTCTCAGCTGGAGAGTCTCAGTCTGCCACAAGTCACTCTGAAACAGCAAGCAGCGCTGCTGCTTTCTCAAGGTACATCTGGAGGTTGTTCACCTGGCTTTGGAACTAGTGGTATGCTAAATAAAGAACACCAAGGGAGGCTAAAGTATAGGAAAACAGCAAAAAGTAACAAAAAAAATAAAATAGTTAGGAATCTAAACAGTAGCAGAGCGGATGACTCAAACAGAGACATAGATCACAAATGACTATTTGCAGGCTGATTGGGTCTGGGGAATGCTTTGTAGCAGGTCGAGAAGTATAGAACGTAATGGATTGTCATGAGAGATGTGAGGCTATGTGGACAAGAAGAAATATTTTTTTTTTTCAGATCATATGTATACAAGTTGTCATGTTAGGCATAATAACGGTCTCATCACAAAGATCTTTAATGGGGTTGAGTATGAAACTCCAAGGTCATGAAAACGTCCCATGTCTGCGTGACATGAGGTTGCTGTAGCAAAATCTACAAAGCAAGTCCATTTAGAATCAGCCAAAAAGTGGTTCTTGCATTTTAAAAGTCAACTTTGACATGTTTGTGTTCATTGCAGCTATGAACAATTGTCACACGTGAAATCATGAAAGGTTTCAAAAACATACAAAGACATGCTCTGGCCATTTTAATGATGATCTAGCTTGTAAATTTTGGCCCAGACCAAAGCATAGGTTTCAGTACAGATGGATTTGTTGCATCATGATCGTGTCTGGTGGTAACATAGAGATGCTTCAGATTCGCTTCCCGTCATCTGGCACTTGTGACAAGAAATTCAGATGACAGCTACTTCCTTAAAAATGCATAATTTAGCGTAGTTTCTCTCTCTCATAAAGCATTCAGCCTAAATCCGGTTCTAAAAGCTCATTTATTGACTCTAGTAGTGAAAAAAATAATAAATCAGTGAAGCTAAAAAAAAAAAAAAACAGGGAACCCACAATTTACACGTGGAGTTTTAATTCAGGTACTGTTCCTTGTTACTGTTTGCCAAAATTGCTTTCCAGTTTCTAAAAGCTACAGCAGGGTTTTTAGATGTGTCACACTAGATTGCTGTCTTTTCTTTTTTTTCTTTAGAAACAAACACTGACAGTGTATTAAGGCTATGTGAAAAGAAGAACAGGTAAGAAGGAAAACAACTGTGATTGTCACTGTGACAAACAGAATGGGAACAGCAGGGATGCCAAGAGTGTAAATAATTATTTTTGAAGGCAGGATGTACCATGAAGAGCGAAAGACTCAAACTATTTCTTTGTCTTACTTGCAGTATAGTTGCACTGAAGAGAGACTTCTTTTATGCAAGCCTGCCGTTCTACTACAACATCTCAAAGTTCTGCTTTTAACATGTAGGCATCAGACATGCCACGTGTTCATTGTGAGGAATGCATTTTAGATCTCTGTCAAAATTCTACTATTTTGAAATATTTTTAAATGCAAAGTACATCCAATCCAGCCGACACATTTTCCTTAGCAGCCCCGTGGTAAACTTCCTAGTTGTCGTCAGGAAATTGGATGTGTGAAGTGGATGGACCTCATTTTCAAAAAAGGAAGAGTTAAATGGTGGGATTTAGAAGCAGCTTGCTTCCAGATGCTTGCTACCGGCGTTAATGATGCACAGCTATTGTGGTTGAATAACGAACACTGAGATCTCTCAATCTGAACATCATGCCCAGCACGCTGCAACTTGAACAAGCAAGTTCAAGTTGCTTGTGCACATTATTTCATTTTTAGGAATGAAATAATGTGCACAATTTAGATTTTTTTTTCCAAAACCTGCACTAATTATTTGGTGTAACTTGCAAAAGTAAACCTTGAACAAGCAATGTGTCCTGAAAACAAGCATTAAACCTTTGCAGGTCAGTAATTGTATTGTTTAGTGAAAGGCATGACTAAAATCCCCATTGAATCAACCCATTAAAAAGGATTCTTGCTACATCAAATTATCAGAGGGCGCATGGAAAACACTTATTTGCTTTTTGAGCAGCATGTCTGCCCCTGTTTAATATTTCTAGTACAAATGGTTTTTGATGGTTTTGTTTTTTTTAGGAATGAAATAATGTGCACAATTTAGATTTTTTTTTCCAAAACCGGCACTAATTATTTGGTGTAACTTGCAAAAGTAAACTTTGCCACCTATCACTCTGTTGTAGCAGCAACCCAGTATTTGCACTTAATAAGAAAAAAAACAAAAAAAACAAAAAACAAAACCAATTTCCCTTAATTTGAAAATCCAAAAAAAAAACAAAAAAAAAAAAAAAATTACAGAATCGGATAATTATTCCACTTGAAGACTGTACAGCATACGTTGCCTGCCAATTAGATGTGTGTATTTGTTTTGCCACTGCTTTCTGACAGGACTGTCTGCTACTCAGAACGTCTTTTCTTGGTTCACTCCACTCCAGTGCTTCTCCATAATTCTGTTGGCTTGCATGCTCTCCTATTATGCAGATTTCCTTTCAAACCCAGATTTAGGGATACTCAATCTGACATTTGCCAAAACCTTCACACACGAATGCGCGGCGAGGCATCTTTCTTTACTTTTGCTTCATTAGCTGATAAGCCAGCCACACAGTTTTGTGGCCACACAGATATATTGGTTGTCACTTGGTAATTGGTAAAATATGTTGGGACAAGAGCTAATTTGGATAGGGGTAAGTGGGAAGACGAGGGCTGAGACCTTTTCATTTGCAGCTAAAATGTGAGTCTGAGGGCTGAAAAATTTAAGAAGATAAATGAATGTTCTCCTGGTAGCAGTCCTGAAGTGGATTGTGGTCAAAGTAACTTTATTTCAATTTTATGGGATTTTTTTTTTCTACTATTCTTTTCTTGCTGGAAGGTCTTTTTTTTTCAAAGGCAGTGTGTTTTTCACACAAAGGTTAACAACTTAAAAAAATACTGTAAGGGCAAATTAACAGCTGTTATTGAAAATAGCACATTCAAATTAAAAGAAATGCGCAAAAAATGACAACAAACTACTTAGAAGATGTGAACAAAAGGTTCAAACAGCAGGGTTTACATCCCTGCAAATAACAGCAGCGATACAAACAGTTTGTCAGGAGTGTTGATGGTTATAAAGTAACACTGCTTTGTGCAGCTAGGATGCAGCAGATCTGTCACTGTTCACCAACAGGTTTATAGTGGGAGATTAATGCATGTCTCTCACTGCCTGCACATCCTAGCATGGATGTGGTAATGTTGATGTAAGAGGGCCAATCACAATGAAGACGAGAGAAGCAACCTGGCCTCCATAAATTTAAATTAATCCAGCAAACTACAGTTTGCCGTGGTTTAATCTAAACGCAATGACCACTAAATGTCACTTGCTGGACACTAGAGAAAATTTCCTTTTCATTCAATCTCTGTGTGAAAATCCAAGCTGCTTCAAATATTTGGACCAAATTATGTGAAAAGTTAAAAAATATTTTGTGGCATCCAGATTCCATTATTCCCATTAAACATTTTATGGTTACTTGGAGGTTTTTAAACAGTCTTTTGAAAATATGCGAACAATTTAAGTAACATGATGCCAAAGAGAATTTATGCTCATTCGTGAATAACTGAGTTTGCTTTGCGAAGGGAATAAGCAGAGTAACGTTCCTTCCAGATACAGATGCACGGGTTGTTAGTTTTGTGAAAAACACTCTTTCGTGATCTGATGAATACAACGGAGATTCAGTGAAACTACAGCCAGCAAATTAAAGTTTAGTGAGTTTATAATGGGCTCATTAAAATATATTTAATTTAATTCGTTCTTCTTTTGAGGGTTAGTTTTGCAGAAACAACGTCAGAAATACAAACAAGCGGGCAGATTGGATTACATACAGTAAACTGATAAGTTTGACGTTTGCATAAATGATGTGCATAACCAGACATGAACGTTGACGTTTATTTTTTGTCTCTTTTCTCAGTTGTTATCCAACTCTCCATGGTTATCACTTCTACTCTATTTGGGTTTATATTCTTTTCATTTGTGCTGCTAGTTATGATCAGCCTTCTTTGCAAAGAAAAGGGTTTCTAAAGCGGCAGACATCTTTAGTCTTTGTTTGAATTAATAAAACATGACAAGTTAGGACGATTGCCAAATGAGATTTGTGTTGTTTTTACTCTTGCTTCTTGTTTTGCACTATAAAACCAATAGTACCCTTTTACCTTCTAATAGTTCTCTTTTCTAAATTGGTTCCCTGCCAGATGTCCTGCAGTAACTGTCCATCTGTCCCATCCAGCTTGTCGTGGCGGAGTATACCAGAGGAAGCTGTACCACGAACTGATGCTAAACTACAACCGTCTGGAGAGACCAGTCCAAAACGACTCTGCTCCTATTCTTGTGGAACTTGGCCTGACCTTGCTGCAGATTATTGACGTGGTGAGTTTTTGTTAAATACAATTTACATTTTAGGTAAATGCAAAATATGCTTTTTTAAACCGGCATGTTTAAAGCTGAGAAACAATCGATTGCTCTGTGAAACTCGTTCCAACCCAAACTGACTGTACTCTTGCACATTTCCATAGCATTTTGCATGCATTTGTGCCCGAAAGCAGTATTAATGCACACACCTCGTGAATGCACACACCTCGTGAATGTTGTACCTCATTAATCTCTGGATGTGTTGTAAAATTGATTATCAGAAGAGAAAGTTAGTCTTTGAAACAACAAGTTGTGTTTTCTTCCAAGCACTTTTAGTTCCACCCGTGTGTGGTGAGAAAAGACGTTTCATTTTATTTACAAGTGCAAAATAAAAAGATTTTGCACTTATAAAAGAACTTAGTTCTTTGTAGTTTCTCCAGTGTTAGAATTTATAATGAAAACAATGTTTCATCTGTCATGATGGACATTTTTTGGAATGGAAAAAAAAAAGTTAACATTTATTATTTTTATACCAAGTTTTTATTTCCTCCACTGATTAAAACTGCCACAGCTTTAAGCAAAAATGAAATATTGGACACTAATGAGTCTCATACAGCCTAATGAGGTAGTAGAGTTTTGGTTTTACCCTCTTCTGAAACCAAGACGAGGTATAAATTTTTCTTCGTCTTGATTTTCACAGTTTTTAGGTGCTTCCATAAAAACACAGTACCTCTCATTTCTTGTGTCCTACATTCCATTTCCTTGAGCACCATTAAATATAAAAGGAATCACATTGCCCAATCTTTTTCATGTCAAGCTTGCAGCTCTGACAAAGACTTATCTGTATCTTAAGTAGCTGCTCTGACATCCCTTATGTTTTATTCTATCAGCTGCTCTTTATTATGTTTTTCCTCCTGTTCTCCATACCGTCCATCTCACAGGACAACACACAACCTCCTGCTGCTTTGACCCACCACTTAGACAGACCAAAGGAAAAAAAAAAAGAAAAAAAAAAGAATCTGACACACCGTCACATCCTTGACCCAGCCCTGTCATAAGACATCTTTTTATGCATGCCGTATAATAGAAAGTAGCATATGCCAACATGCTTCGTAGACTCCCTAATGCACTATTAATGTCAGCTCACGACTTCTTAAGCAACATTTTAGCTAGTTGTTACAGTGCTGTAAAATAACAAACTGGAAACAAAAACTAATTAAGTGAGATGAAGGATGTTTCCCCTTTCATTTATCATATTATGTAGCTACTTTGCCTCTATTTAATATCATAGACTGTTATTTTGTAGTAGCACTTGTCACAAACCGTGTTTTGCATATTTTCCGAGTGCTCAGTATTAAGCATGTATAGAAAATGGAAAGATGTATATACTCCTTGTTATTAGCTATGCGGTTTGGCACAATACATAATTCATAAGCCGGAAAAAAACAAATGAATGAATGCTTCCTGGGCAGCAGTGAATAATGTAAATCTCGCTGTTCTTGTGGGTCTGTTTGTGTGGGATGGGGTCTCTTGATTTCTCCATCTGCTCCCGTCTTACTCTGCAACCGCAAAACTGGGTCAGGTTACGACCAACAGATTGAGTCCAACACCAAAAATGATAACAAAAGCCCAGAAAGACGCACACAGATTTGTCACTACGCAATGTCAGCAGAAGTTTGACTTCAAATATAAGTCAAGTTGAATTTTGTTAAACATTTGAGGATTTAATTCACCTTTAATCCAAATAACATACTACATTTGATTACATTTGAGATATTTACATATATAAACTGTCATGTCGGATGATACTCGATTAGCC